AACAGTATTCGTATCTCAAAATGCCCAAGTGAAAAGTGTCCATTAAAAATTCTCATAACATTCCACGCCACCTATGGCCACCTCCGAAACTAAAATACCCAAATTTTATCCCATTTTTGCTTCTTTCCAAAAAGCACTCTGGATAATCAAGCCAACGAGTAAAGAGTACCGCGATTTTAATTGTTTTTTCAAACTACGGTTAATCCTACAGGTACAGCTCGTCCCTGAATCGAGCCAACTCGGTCGCGTGGGTGATTTGGGGCAGTTGGTGGGGATAACTGTCGGTTGTTGAGAAGCAGAAGGAGTGGGGGGTTGAAAAAGGGCGGGGATGAGAGACGGTGAACCGTGGCACGGACAGACGGACGTGCCGGAGTACCGATAGGGATGCACCGACCTTGGAGGGATTTTTGCGTCTGCCGTCGTACGTTCACCCCGTCAGCAGCGGAGCGAACATACTCGCGCGCCTTCAGAAACGCGACTCCTTCTTTCTTCGGCCTCTTTGTCTCCCCTTTCGCCACCCCCTCCCTGCTTCTGTACCAGGCCCTTTTTTTCTACGCTTCTCGTTCCAGGCTCACTCGAGGCTGAAACTCGCCGGGAATCGGCCGCCTCACCCTCGGAACTCTCTCCCAGCGACGCTCCAGGGGCGGAATTTTTGCGACTCCACGTCTGCGACAAGACACGGACCCAGACAATGGGCCGGGTTTCGCGAAGTTCGAAGTTTTCGAACTCTTTTTTTCCGCAGACGGCTCTTCTTTGCACCGTATATTGATTTCGAACACATATTGGTTCTTCAGAGATCTCAAGATTTTGGATTCGATAGATTTGATTGGTTGTGTGAAGTTCTTAGAATTGTTTCGCAATGGTCGTTTCGGAATCCATATTGACGGGAACGATTCACTTGGAATCCGCGCTAATCGATTTCGTAAATTGGAAAGTGGAACTTCATAGTTCTTTGTGTAACACGTACTCGATAAAATTTGCGATTTTGTGCAATTGGATAGTTCATGTAACAGGAGCTCTCCAATATTTCCCACTACTTACGATTTTTCGTTCACGTGGAATTCGATTAGCAAAAGTTTAGTCAGTTCAAATAATTCAAGCAAACGGAGTACCATAGTAGACTTTTACAGTGTTTTTAAATCCAACCGAGTTCAATCGTCAATTGTATCAATTTCTTAATTCAAAAATAACCACAATATTATTAAATTCATTTCGATCGAGATTTCCTCGTCAACGTTCTTCCTAATTTGAATATTCTTCCTTAATTTCATTAGATTGTATCACCAACTAAATTTTTCCCTAATTATATGATTAATTATTATCTGTCAATTAAAAAATAACACCAGCATTGTTAAATTCAGTTTAATTAATTTCTTGGAACATCAATGTCCTTCCCTAATCTCGTTAGACTATATCACGTGAAACCAATCAAATTCATCGCCGACCGATCGAAATTTCTTCGACAGCATAGATGTCTTTTCCTCATTTCATCAGGTTAGATGTTTCATTAACTGTCTTCATCAGTTTCTTAATTCAAAAATAATATCCGTATTGTTAAATCAATTTCGGACCGATCGAAATCTCAATGCTCGTTTTCTACATAGTGGCACGTAGTGACCACGAGCCAGCCCTGGCGAGTCGATGCATCCTACAGATTAGGCTGCACGTACGCAACATGCACGCGCGTGGCGTGTGCCTAATAGTGCGTGCATCGCTCTCTGCACGTAGTGGAGGTCGTGACCTTGGCGGTAGCCATGGAAGGGTCGACACTACAGCACAGCCGATTTACGCGGTCACGAGGCAAGAGATCGGGAAACTCGATAAACGTCGCTGCGTTTAATTAAGGATGCTTTTCACGTACACGCTGTATCAACGTGTCCCTCTCTCTCTCTCTCCCTCTCTCCCTCTCTCTTTCTCCCCTTCGCGTGATACGTTCCGTTCGCATTGAATTACTGTCTCTTCTACGCGCTTCTACGTAGCGAGTTCTCGTTCTTTTGCCTGAAATAACAACGATAATTCTGTTCGCGAGCAGCACGCCTTTCGAAACTTGAGAGAGAAATGCAGTGAACCGACTCAATGTCGTTTAAATCTGGCAAATAATCGTTCGGAATGATTTATTTGGTGTTGCGGTGTTGAAGTATTAAATTAATCTGTAGCTTTTGAAACGTTTATATGGTTCAGGAATAATGTAATACATAATATCAGAAGTTGATGAATAATACATTAACATCTTTCAGCGATTAAATATTAAATGTTTCTGACTGTCGTTGAAACGTCCTTTTGAGCGAGATTCGACTTCTCATTCGAGTGTAATTAACCTTCAATTGAGAATGACTGAAATTTTAACGAATTTAGTTTTGGTCAACATTAGGATGAACAGTGAAATTTAATACCAATAATTCCCATAGAAAGTAAATTTATTTCACCAAACAGAAAGAAGGGAAAGAAAAGTATTTATCGCGTCAATTCTACACCATTGTTCAGCGAGACAGAGATCATTTGTCCTAAAAATTCTGAGTAAAAGGATTGACCCAGTGACCTTGCTGAAGGATCGTGCGCCACCGATCCTGAAGGTTAAACTTAATTAGTGCGAGAAGCTCGGCGACCGAATTGTCGTTCAATTAATTGCTGGTCGGCCAGGTCAGATAAGCCCACGGGTGTATACCCCCCAAGAGCTTCGAATCGCTTCATAATCGTCCGGCACGCGATAGGGAACGACGAACGGATCAAGGTCCTGTCGATTAAAGAAACGAGATTGCTCCAAGAGCTGGTTATTCTCAGTTTGCGACTAAACGTTCACACAGAAGACACACAATCCATCGGTTCGTTGTCCTTCTTCCACGTTTTCGTTAATAAAACGCAAAGAAATAGATCTGTTTTTTGTTTTAAATTTTATTTATTGTCAATGTTTCATTTGCTCAAATAATGACAGAGTTTAAACGGAGTTTGAATTCAGTTCCCTAATTTAAATTTGTAGTTTGATGCCTTCTTTCGTATAAGCTTCGGGAATTTTCATACAAAGTTAACCTAGATATGTCTATCATTCTTTTAGAAAAATGATTGGAAGTTAATATCAATATATTCCCCAATTTTTTCCAGCAGCTACGATACTCGGTATCATTTTTGACATTGAAACAGAATGGAATGGAAATGAAATCCTTTAACAATTAAAACTAACGATTGTCATTAAAATTTTGCTGACACCGGGGCAAAAATTTAATTTCAACACATTCAATTTAGAAATTAAATGAAAGCAGAAAGAAATCTACGTTCATCGCGAGAAGAAAAAAATATAGAAGAAGTGGTAGTAATTTAAATTGTTAAATAATTTACCTTCACTCAACCTAGACCTCAAAGACCAATCATACAAAGAAAATTTAATAAAATTCAATATCTATATAAAATTTCGTAATTCTTTTGTAATTCTACACCAGAAATATAACTTGAAACGTGAAAGATTTCACAAAATATTAATTTAAAATCATCGTGACTGGTCGATCACCTCCTGTATTTTTTTTTTTTTTTTTTTTACTGTTACCCAGTCACGAAACAAAGGGTTGAAGATACACGTTTCGATAACGTGCCTCAATTTCAATTGAGGCAGCAGCGGTCCACGCACGAGAAAACAACGACATTTAACTGGCAATTAATAAAGGTACGACCAGAACGAACAAGAAAAAAGAAGAATTAAAAAAAAGGAAGGAGAGAAAGAGAGAGAGAGAAAGAGTGAGAGAGAAGAAAACTGGCCGTGTGGGAACAAGATGGCACGACCTCGAAGGGCGCGGTCGAGTTCAGGCTAGACTGAAGCTGCCCTTGTGCCTAACCGACCTTGAGACAGCCCGTTTTGCCATAGCCTGACTCCACTGGCCTCATACCACGAACGCATCCTCCGCTCGTAACACAAAGAACTGTCCTCCTCGTTGGGAATTACCTTTGTGCCCTATGTGGAAGTTCGCAAATGGAATTTCGCCGTTTTCGGAACATCGTTCACTTGTGGAATTGTTCGAACAGGTGTCCAACGTCCACCGAATTCTCCGCCTTCTTTTTATTTTTTTCTTTTCTTCTTTGTGTTTTGCACGATGTTACTTGCGTCACAGTGTGCGTTGATTAATTCTCTAGAATTTACATAAATATTTTGAAGCTTCGTTTGTTTAGGGATTGGTATGGTAGAACTGGAGGAAATGGTCGGATGTTCAAAGCACCGATTAGTCTTTGTAGAGTTTAATTTGTTTAGAAGTTATTGGATTGGAATTGAAAGGAACTTGGAAATAATTCAAAAGTGTTCTGAAATTTAATTAGGAATTGTTGAATTCGAATTGTAGAAAATGATGTAATGTAAATGGAGGAACTTGATCGTCAGAGCACTCATAGAATTTGACGGTCACTTTATTTAGGAGATATAAAATTGAAATCTAGAAATATTCGAAAGTGTATAGTGTCAAGATAGCAAGAATGATGTTTGAAAATTTATTTCTCGAAATTTTGTAGATCATAGATTGGTAATATTTGTCTTTTAATCAAATCAAAAATAATTTTACAATTCAGTAACATTGTCAGTTCTATACTTTAGTTTGGAAATTGAATATATATTTTTATCATTCTCATAAATATTTCAAAAATATCGTAATGTCAGATGTGTTCTTGATTAGTTTTGGATCAAAAAAGGTTGCCTTTTTAAATATCAAGTTAAAAGTAATCTTTTTTATGCTTTCCTGTGTGGTCATTTAATGACATAGATACATCATGGAGATCTGTGACTACATTTTAGATTCATTTTTTTTTCTTTTTTTTTAAATAAGATATACATACTTATATATCTACCTTAATAATGACGATATCTACGTATATTCATTTACGAACAAGTATTATACTATAAAAGTAATAATTGTAGATCTGCTTTTGTAAAATAAATGTAAAATTATGGTTTAAAGCAAGATGTCGTGTCTTTACGTTGAAAAGTTTCAGCTTTTTGATAGTAAATCAGAAAAAAGAATTGTAACTGTTTCCGCCCGGGATCGAACCGAGGACCTTGTGCGTGTGAAGCACACGTGATAACCACTACACTACGGAAACGTTGGTAGCAACCCTTTTCCTTCTCATTAAGAATCCCAATTCTTACCTCAATATATTAAATAGAGACAAAAAATTTAATTTTCCACAGTTTTTAAAATGAAACTGTGCGAAAAAAATTTTTAAGATATTAAAATATTTTCTTACAAATTTCTTATAATAAGTTTTCCTATAAATATTTGAAGATTACTTTACTTAAAATACATCGTAAATTACATTACGTAAAATTAAGTATGTACTTCTATGCAATCTTCTATCGAATATTTCTATATTTCTCTTTTTTATTTCACTACATTTCAGTTATTAGTCGTTGAATTATCAAGAGGAATACACATTCCTCTTTACGATAGTCAGTACCAAAAATTTTTTGGTTCTGTACAGACAGACGAACAACTGGTAAAACACAAAATCAGCTGTACTGTGTAAACAAGGTCAGCTAGGACAAACGTGTATATAAACATTTTTTTTTTTTATTGTTTCTGCGTACTGACTTCTACATTTTATCGTACGTCTCGCACGGAATTTTTCCAATGTCAGGAAAACGGAATTTCTCATCAAATTTTGTAATATTCATTCTCAGTCGTTTTCCAATTGCAACACACAGTTTTAACTTCAATTCAATATTCAACAATTAAAATACAAATCCATAAACACGATGAAATACAGTAGATTTTATTACATTTATTATTATTTTCGAAAAGATTGTTATCGTCACTAGTATGACTTTGATATTACAACAATGGTACTATAACTTTTTGTCTATATTGTAATTATAATTACATATCTGTAGACAATCATAAATTAAAAGATTAAAATTTGATATTACTATAACTTTGTCTATATTATAATCATAATTACATATCTGTAGACACAATCATAAATTAAAAGATTTAAAAATTTAGAGTTGAAAATTTGGAAATTATACAGTGTAGAAATAATACAAGATTCCTACAAATATTTCGAACTTCATCAAATCTTTATAAATCTAGGTGGACGAGGAATGTACAATGTTAAAAAGACCTCCACATGTGCTCAGTATTAAAATTGAACAACGTAAATTAATTGAAAATGAAAGAAAACGAAATGCTGACGTGACAGTAATAACATCTACACAGTATTTTTCAAATATATATATATATATATATATATATATATATATATATATATATGAACGTGACATCGACGGTAAAAATTCGTACACGATGGATTTCGTCGATTTTACATTCGCCGAGTTTCAGGAAAATACTGGAATTCGTATACATAAATAGAACTGACCTGCGCTACCGGGTCCGATACGTGCTCCTTTGTTCGTGACTTTCTGAGAACTTCTCGTCGCTGTTTCTCTTTGGAATATTGATCGATCGTTCTCCTTGGCGTTTAGAATCTCCGCGGTGTACGCGAAAATCGCATTTTCGCGGCACTATAATATACATCAGCGGGTCTTTTTACGTTTCAGCCAGGAGAAACCGATTTCCCCTTGAACGATCTTTTGCATTTTCCAAACGGCGGCGCCTGAGACTCCGCGATTTGAGGTAATGGATCGACCTTTTCTCATGTCCTTTTTTTCTCGCTTTTCCACGCTCTTGTTCCATTCAATAAGAGACCCACTTTGGAGTGAAATTTCTTTCACTGGTTGAATAAAAGCTATAGCAGCCCATGAAAGTATTTCAATATTTATCAGAGAGAACTTTTGTGCAGCATGTCCGGTTTATTCGTACAAGCGAGCCAGCCATTATTCCCTTAACTGTTGAAAGTTGCGAAAAAAAATATTTCAAACGAAATATTTTATGCCTTCATAACATAGTGCAATCGTTCTGTTGTTATTTTGCTTTTTTTATTGAGATACGAAGTTAGTTTCTTTTTTTTTAAATAGAAGGATGTATCTTTTGATTGTTTGAAATTTTTTTTTTTTGCATACGTACTGTACACATGTCATTTGTATTATACGAAATATTTTGGAATTTTCTTAGCATTGTAATTTAAAAATCGTTTTTATGTCAGGGATAGTTGAAAATTATATTGCCTTTCAAATATTGTGAAAATTTCATTTAAATTCATAAACATAATTATCTGAAGGGAACAATTTTACGTGCGATAATGAATGACGCACTGTGGTACGATTTCAAACAAAGTAATATATGTAATATTTCGTTGAATGCATAACGAGAAGAAACGTTTATTTCAATTATTTGTTTTAAATCGTACAATACGTTTCTAGAGCGAAATAAATATTTAAATTAATACATTAACGTTAAATTTAAAATTAATTGAAATTTAATCATGCAACAACTTGTTACACCGAGCACGAGAAGATTGAGATTACTAATTTTTCTAGTTCGTTAGGAAAGTTATGTCTCATTTTTTATGTCCAAAGAAAAGAAAAAAGAAGAAAATGTATAAAAATCCGCAGTTTATTTAATCACAGAACGATCTTCGACTTGGAATAAATTTTGCTTCAAAGTGTCTCAGAAATTGCCAGAACGAAGAAACGATCTAGTAGAATAAAACGAGTTGATCAGACCGATACTGTGTCGACAATGTGTCAGCTTTGCAGAACGATGCCGATTTTAGCATAATCGAGAGAGATCTGTAATGAAAAGCTGCGTACGGATAAGGTTGACGATATTGCAATAATAGAAAGCTACGATTCCTCTGTTGGTTGGTTAAACGCGATGCTTGTGCACCGTGTCTCAACGTGGTCGCTCGGCGAAACTTTTACTTTTACCGCGCGGAGAAAGTGTACCGGTGCTGCAACTCTCGCGATTCCGCTTAGAACGCGTAATTCGCGCTTGTCGCCGCTTCAGAAAGCGAAAAAAAAAGTTCTCTTTCGTTTCCCTCGTTTTTTAAGAAGTCGGAGTAAATTCGATGGTCTGAAACGGATTCTTTGAACGTTGGGTTCTTGAAATAGTAATGTCGATCTGTTTGCGAGATAAATGTAAGCGTGGTGTTTAATTTTGGTACGTTTCATTTCCAAGAAATTAGGAGAACGAGTTGATTGATGGCGGTTTGAAGGTTGGTCTAGCTGGTACGACTCGTTAAATGTCAGTCTTCTAAAAGGATAATGTCGATCTGTTAAATCGAACATAGTAGAGTTTAGTTACTGTCGTAGGAAGTGCACGAAAGATAGTGAATTATATGTATATTTGTAATCATCTCTGTAAATTTCAAAATTCCATCGCCGTGTCTATACAAATTTCCTGTTTCGAAGATTTCTTACAGGTTTGAACATCGAATGGACATAATTGAGAAGACATTTAATTAACAAAAATTTTGTGAAAAAGATTGTATCGAGATCTAAACTGCACAATTACTCCCAATTTTCATTCAGGATGAAATTTCAACCATTATTACAGCCTCCGACACTAAGGCTAATTCATAATTTTTTATCGAAATTTCACAGATTTGTGCAAGTTCAAAGATCCGAACGATGGTGAAACTTGCGTGTTTTATCGTATTATAAATCTTTTCCTATTTTCAATGTTTCCGTTTCTCCACTATACGATTAACATCATAGTCGTTGAGAATTACTAGTATTCCAGTAATTTAGTGGAATAACACTTACCAGAATAGAATTATATTAATTTTGATCGTATTAAAATTGAACAACTCTGAAATCTGCTTGAAACATTTCCGATCCAAATCCATAGCTCCTCCAAATACATTATGAAAACAATAATACAGTGGAGCATAAACGGCCACTATACCCATTACGAACAACTCCAAATTCTCATAAATAATTTCAGCCCTGATATTATCTGCCTTCATGAAACAAATTTCAAAAAAAAAAAAAAATCACCAGCCTACACTAAAACATTTCAATACCTTCGTCAAAAACAGGATAAACGAAAACCACGCCAGCGGAGGAGTGGCCATTGTAATTTCGGACAAATATGATTCTACTGAAATCCCATTAAATTCAAACTTAGAAGAATGCCACACCACAGAAACCCAAAGACAGAAATACGGAATCAACGCAAACATAAACTTCTCAAAATGACATACAAAAAGTATTAAAATATCTCGAAAACATAAACTACTACACACACATCTAATGGCACCGTCGTCGCTAATGACCTCGCTGTCAATGCGACATTAAAGAAAAATAGACGAAGAAGAAGAAGAAGAAGAAGATTTTCGCCGAGATTCACTCGAGATACAAAGCGCGAGATATTTAGTGTGGCAGAAGTTGCAACGTCCCACGCCGGATACGTCGATCGACGATTCTCGTTGGAGCTCGATGGCCCGATTAGTCGACGTTCATCGTTTCTGGAGTTGTCGGCTGTCGGTCGGACGTTAATGAACGCCGGTACGATCTGCTGGCGGCATTGTGCTTTTCCCATTTAAGGGGCGACACACTTTCTGCGAGGCACGACCGCGAGAAACCGTGCAATTCCACGGCGGTTCATTTCATTTCCTGGTTGGAGCAACGATCTGGCCGGTCGTTAGCCGCGGCACGTTGCACCGTGCTGCCTATGCACGTTGTTGGATATTGCATCGTCCGATTGTCTGGTACCTGCGATCACGTTGAAACGTAGGAGAGACGAGGCAGTCGCACGTCTGGTAACCAACCCGATTTTTACCTGAAAACGGAGAACCCGCGAACATTTCCTCGTCTCGAGCGTGCCACTCGAGTAACAGGTTGCCGTAACACGTGAAATTCTCCTCTATTATGGCACAAACTGCTCGATTAATGCGCGGCGTGTTTGCACTGTGTATCAACCTACTTTTTTCTTCTTTCTTTTTTTTTTTTTTTTTTTCTTTTTAGAAAGAGTTTTAGCGTTGTTGAGTCGTTAAATCTCTTGAAGGAAGTTAAATCTATCAACTCTATGTCTTATTAATTGCTCGTGTAATTTGTACGAGTAAATAAATAAAAATTGAATTCTTGAGAAACGTTGTCAATTGTCAATAATTTGTTAGAGTACGACGTTAACATTGATTTGTTTTCGTAAGTTTCCAGAAGCAACATTTCTTTGTACTTTTTAATTTGCGAATTTTTGCAATAC